AAGTTTTGATTTTGGTTCTGTAAAAAAATAGTTATAAATTTTAGAGAAATAAAAAATATTTTTTTATAAAGATAAAAATTAAACACGTTTATTTTACGTAAATTAAAAATATATTTAAGTTTATTTTTTTATCAACTTTTCCATTCATTTAAATAAGTTAAAGGATTTTTTTCTACCTTTTTCTTTCTTTTATTTCAATCTATATATCAAATAATGGAACGTTCCTGCTTTATTTTTTCTATATTTATATTAATTCCAATACTTATTATATGACCAAAATTTTTGAATTAGTTTGGACTTTTTATAAGACTTTAAACATTAGTTTTGTCTTTACAAAAATATTTTTATTAAATATATTTTTAAGTTTAATAAATAAAATCTATTTAATTTATGTATCTTCCAATATAAATAATATCATTTTATTTTTGGAATGTAAATCCTTAACCATTAATTTAAGAAGAAAAAAAAAAAGTTAGTGTCCACTTTTTATCTGGGTGTGACTTCTATTTCAAACAATAGGTTACACCAGAAAACGCATGAATCAAAAGATTTAAAATTGTTGTCCATTTTATTAAACATTCATGTTTTAATTGATTGATTATTTTTGAGGTTGGCGTAGGGCATGAGATAAGTAGGAGTGTATTTATGGAAAAGAAAGAGTGAATATTAATTATTATATCTGGAAAAAGAAAGAAAGAGAAAACACTGAAACCAAGAACCGTGTGAAGTGTGAACACAGAAGAAGAAAGGTGAAGCACCCATCGTATTCATACGTCCGTAACTCCCCTCATTCGCAACTTTCTTCTTGGAACGTCAAACATCGCCTTTTACCTCTTAACATATATGTTCATGGCAGTATATTTATTTACTACCCAAATTAAAACATATAGCAGTATATAATCAGATATTGTTTATCATAATTTTATTAACCAATTTGTTTATTTGCCTTGTGTTTGGTAAAGAGAAAAATAAAAAATAAAAAAGGAAAGAGAAATATGAAAAGATATAAGGAAATAAACTAAAAATAAATTTATTCGATAACAGAAATATAAAAGAAATATAGTAGAAATAAAGTATAAATCATCTAGGAGAAATAATGTAACAGAGAAATATTATTCCGTACACTTTGCATCCAACACTATTGAGGTAGTGAGCTCTTTACTTCGTCCATGTCAGATGCCATTTAATCTGCGCTCGACGTGGATGAGGTAGGGAACGCTTGAATTCTCACACCTGATGTGATAAAGCCCACACTCGACCCTATTTTAGGTAGAGTACCTTTGCTTGATTCACGCTCGACCTCACTCCATTGAAATCCATGCATCAATCCAAGTAAAGACAATTCTCTCACCTTACACCCGATACCATTGAACTTAATGTCCGATGTGACCAAGTTAGAGATAATATCTCTCCTCACGGTTGACACCATTCAACTTAATGTTCGATGTGACTAAGTTAAAAGCAATTATCTTTCCTCACACTCAGTGTCATCAATCTTGTGCCTCACAAGAATAAGACAAAGATCCTCTGATTTGAGTCACGCCTAATGCCATGAAGGCATGCCTGGCGTGATGGTGAATTTTGCACTTATAAATTCACAAAATTGCTCTTTTCACCTAAAAATTATAAAATTTCCAACATGCAACATACAATAACATATCGATACACCTTAAATAACTCATTTTCAATAGTAAACTCAACATGAAACCATCATCGATCAAAACATCAAATTTCACCTCACAAACGTTATGAACAACACAACTCACATTCTTAATTCAATAACAACATAATCACTAAGGCATGCAAATCAAGCAACCATCGAAGAGAAAATCAACATAAACAACTAGAAATCAAAATGATCAAATCTAGTTTCCCTTACCTCAAAATCCAAGAGAAAGAGGGGAAGAAGGAAAAAGAGTGAGCTCCACCAAGAACTACACACAACTCTCCAAAAGCTTTGATTCTCAGCTTTGCAAGCTTTGAATCACCAACAAGCAATCTCAGCTCTTTAGAGAAGGATCCTACAAGTATTTGGAAGTTAGTAGAAAAAGAGAGATCTCACTAGCCTATAGTATTTCTCTCTAACTTATCTCTCTAAGTTTCTTACGAGGCTCAAGTTTTAAAAAGAACCTTATATACCTTCTTCTTATGATCAAATTGGACCTTTACTTAAAGAAATCCTTTAAACACTTAAAAACTTCTAAATAATTCCTTAACTTCTGAAATCTCTCAATAACAAACTCTAAAACATCTCAACACATGATTATTGAAAAATTCACAATTATTAACAAAATAAATTACAATGTTACAAAATCAGAGAGGTAGAATTCAAAAAACATATTTAAAATGAGTCTATATCAAATATAACTCGAAAACTATTTATTTTCGTAAACTTTCAAAATGATTACAATCTAGATTTATAATGTTTATAATGTGTCTTTGGCTGAAATATTACCAAATTATTGATAAAAAAAACTTATTATGTGTCATGTTGTCTCTTTTGTAAAATGTCACATGTTCTTTCTAGGTCAACATGTTTACTATAGAAGGATTTATAACATGTAAAAAGGCCAATAACAAAATAAATTTGTGTATTTTCATTCATTACATTGATTTTTTTCCATAACATATAAGAAAATTATTTAATTAATTATTAACTACGTGCATTATAATAGAAATGTTGACTTTTATAATAATAAAGCTTAAATATCAAGTGATTTTTTGTATAACATATCTATATCCTGATTTCTATTTAACTAAAAGAAAACTTAAATATATTTATAAGTTTATGTAAAAAAGAATATAAGTTTTGTTTTTTATTTTTTTTATATATATTTTTTTATTTTTTATATTTTTATTTTTTATAAAATTTAAAATTATTATTTTTAATAATATATGATCTTATTAACTAAATGTATTTATTATAAGATTAAGTGATAATTTCAAATAATACCTATACTAGTTTATGCATATTAGCATGTGACCTACACTTCTAAATTTTTCATAAATTTTATTTATTAACTTTAGAATGGTTACTTAGTGATAAAAAAAAACAATGACTTTAAATTTTAGATAAATAAAATTCAAATAAAAATATTTTACAAGGATTAAAACTAAATTTTATTCTTTTTACAAAAATAAATATAATAATTCCAAATTTTAAAATGATGAAAATAAAAATTTGTTTATAAAAGTTGAAATTAAAGTTCTTTCATTTTATAAAGATTAAAACTTTTTTTTTAATTTTGCCATGAGTATCTTAATTCACTATGATTACTTTTTTTATTTTTAATTTTGGGCAAACATATTAGTTTTTAAAAGGAATATTAAAATCAACATTTCATTTCGAATAAAATTAGTTCAAACTCATTAATTTATATCACAAATTTGGATATTGTAAAAGAAAAATGTGACTTGAAGAAAAAAAATTCACTAATCTAATTATCTGGTAGACATTGGTTATTCACATGGTGAATGTTTGGTACATTGATAAAAATAAATAACAATAAAAAATATTTTTTAAAAAGGAAGAGAAAAAAGAGTAAAGGTATCAGACATGGTGGTAGCTGTAGAAGGGAATTGGAAGTTATATATATATATATATATACTTTTCTTCTTCTTATTTTACCAAAGGAAACTTGCACCATTTCAGAATAATTACGAAGGATGATTTAAAATAACTCTCCTAACAAAAGATTGAGTGGTTACATTAGTTTGTCTCTTAATCAATTATAGTCAAAAATTTGGATAAGTAGATAGGAAATTTTACAATTTCTTACAATAGCATTGACTTTAGAATAGTTATGACCAAAGTGTCCGGTGTTGTTAACAATTCCCTTATGTTGTGTTTGGATAAGTCATTTCTAAAATTCAAGGAATTTCAATTACCAAGTATTTGAATTACTCTCAATTGAATTCCTTTCCTTTTTCAAATATTTTGTTTGGATAGAGCATTTTTCAATATATTGTATTTCAATTATCTTGTTTGGATAGAGTATTTCAATTTCTACTTAGCAAAATTTCATTTTTAAATATTTATTAAAAAAATTAAAGTTTTAATAATAAATTTTATTAAAATATATTTAATAATTGAAATTAATTTTAATATTAGAAAATTTTAATTAATTCAAAAATAGTACTAGACGTTATATTTGATCAATTTTTTCTTTATAAATTTAAAAAATATTTTAAATTCACAATATATTTAAAAGTTTCAAAATACCATTAACATCCGTAAAACAATTAATGCACGTTAATTCTTGATATGAAATGATTCCATTTTAAACTAAGAAAAAAATAATAAGAATCTTAAACTTTGAGTATAGGTGGTTCAAAACCACAATATCCCATACGAATTTAAACTAAACAATAATAAAATTCCAAATGTACTTTATATTCATATTAAAAAAACAAAAATAAAAGATAGTTTGTTGAAGATATCAAGGTTACAACTTCATGACCAAAGATTTTCACCTCCTCATAGAAGCAAAGCCTACAAAAAAAACCAAGATACAATCTTGTTACCATGCTATATCAAGATCACAACTTCAAAACAACCAAGATGAAGAGAGGGAAAAAGGAAGGTAGAATCCAAGAAAAACAGGACTAAACGTTCATCTTCATTCTTCAAATATTGAAAATCATTTTGTCTTTGTAACCAGATTGAGACAGCTTCTAGGGACAAAGGATAACCAAAAAAAATTAAACAAATAATATAGTTAGGAGAGTAAGAATCGAAAGATATAACATATACTAGAATCATATATATATATATGGATCATTTTTAGCATATATAATCAAATTATATATTATCCATGAACAACAATTATGCAAGCTAATTATAAAATTTATAAAGCAACTGACCTATAACATCTAAGTATTCATGGAATACATAAAAGCTCCAAACCTGAAACATACAAAGTACATGAAAAAATTAGAAAGTTAACTTGCAAAACCAATCAAATTAATTAAAATTAAGAAGTTGTGAAAAAAAAATTACATCAAGAAATATGTGTTAAAACATAAGCCGCCTTTTTCTCAATTGGAAGAGCTTTCACAATAGCTAACTGTTTAGGAGTGTCAGATAACCATTTAACAGCTTTGGTCCATTGATGTTGATTGAGGTTTGGTATCAAAGCTGCTTCAGCTAACACTTCCTGAATAAAAGCATCTTCATCAATCGCAATATCAAATGCTTGAACAAGTCGCTTTAAAGATTCAGCCACTTCTTTCAACGAATTAGCTATTCCATCTTTTTCTCCCATCTTTCTCCTCTGAGATTGTGTGCTAGTAGAAGCTGAAGATTGACCCCTTCTTTGTGTAGTAGAGCCAGGTTCATCTAAATATATGGTATCACTAACATCCTCTAAACCTAATTCCCCTTCATTTATTTCTCTACTCATGACCTCATCAGCATCCATAGCAGTCTCAGCTCCATGTCCAGTGGCTCTATCTTTAGCACACAAGTCCACTATATCATCCCAGTTTGCAATCACCTTGAATCGGAATTGTCTTGCTTCTTTATGGGCCTTGAAAACAAAAGAAATAAGTCAATAATAGAAAAACTAATACTTACATTGCTTTAAATAATGATAATAAAAAATTACTTACATTGACATACTCATTCCAAGCATTTTCATTGTCAACTGTAATCATGTGTTTTGTGCCATCCCAATCAAATCCACTTTGACTAAGGATGTCACTAACAACTCCATACCATGATCTCCAAAGTTTTATACGATTTTTTACATTCTCCCAAGTGACTTGGATTTTGAAGTTGGTAGATAACACTACAGCTGCAGCATTGTATGCTACCCTTTTCCAAGCTCCATCACTCTTGTTGCCCAAACTTCTTTGATCTCGTAATACATCAGCCAATACACGTTCCATCTCCAAATTCCATGAGAAATAACTTCTTGTTTCTTCATTATTTCTTTCTGTCATCTTTCGCTTTCCCTTCAAGTTCTCTTTGGATGACTCCATTGAAGTTAATATCACCTATTAACCTACATATAAAAAATGTCACATACAACCCACAAAATTAACTTGATCAATCTAATTCATAATTCTAGATCATGTAAATATTTTTTTGTAAACAAATGAAAGCTATCAAAAAACAATATTCCAAGCAAAGTTTTCTTCAATCAAGTACAAAAAAGTCTATCAAGTACATAAAAGTCTTTATTCAATAGAAAATTACATAAAAAAAAGAAAAAACTCTCCCTAAGCAATGTTTCTTCTAACTTGGTAGTTAGCAAACATATTCATCGCTAATGTATCTCGAAATCTTGTCCACTCCTCAGTAACTTGAATAGTTGCAACCTCGTCTGTGACATTATTTTGAACTCTTTCTCTTCGTTGGCTGGTTAGCTCCTCATCAACAATAGATAAGAGCTCCAAGTCTTGAACCTCTAAAAGTTGATCAATTTGTTGTTCATCTCTTATAAAATTGTGTAACACAAAACAAGCATTAATAATTCTTATTTGTGTCTTTATATCAAAAAATGAAGGAGTTCTTAATATACTCCATCTTTTTTTCAGTATTCCAAAAGACCTTTCTATTGCATTTCGTGCACTTGAATGACGAAGATTAAATAACTCCTTGAAATTTTGAGGGGTGTTTCCAATCCACTCATTTAGATGATATCTAGTCCCTCGATATGGTGCTAAGAATCCTGGACCATTAGTATATCCCGCATCCACAAGAAAGTACTTACCTACAATTTTTAAAAATGAAAATTACAACTTAGAACTAGATAAAATTAAATAAAATACTATGTACATGATATTACCAGCTGGAATTTCAAGTTTATTTTGACGACGTAAAGCATCTCGTAATACTCGAGAATCTCCTGCTGACCCTTCCCACCCAGGTAACACATAAATAAACCTTAAATCTGGACCACAGGCTGCTAACACATTTGTAGAGACATCACCCTTTCTATTACGATATTTAGGTCTATCTTCAAGAGAAACTGTTACCGGAATATGTGTCCCATCAAGTGCTCCAACACATTTCTACAAACAACACAAGTGTATTTATATATTTAGTTTTTCAAAAAGGTTTATTGTAAGTTTGACTAGCCTTACAATTGATAAACTTACCTCAAACCATCTCCATTTATTTTCACCCGGACCTTCTAGATAGGTATGAAACTTCAAATAATCCTGACTCACTTTCATTATAGCTCTTAAGACATTATTAAATTGTCGGCTTATTGTTTCTTTAGATCTACAGTAACTAAAGTGCACTACTCTGTACTTCAGGTTGTGAGCAAGGATATGTAAAAACATTGCTACCGCTTCAGTTATTGGAACATTTCTTGTTCTTACTAACCCCCCTCTTTCTTGCAAAATTCTACAAAGCTTGAAAAATGCACTCTTACTGAGCCTTAACTGTTCAATGCAATCTTTTTCTGCCCCTCTATAAAGACGATTAAGGAAACTACGCCGCTCCAATTCCCAATTATGAGCTGGTTCCTTACCAAAATAATTATTATGATACCATGCTACTACACCCATAATCATATAAACCACGCAAGCAACAACAAATATGATTATCTCCTTAAACTCTTCTCTTTTACGTTTTCTCGAAGTAATTCCGGTATTAACTATGCTAACATCCATTACTTCTCAATCTACACCCTGTGAAACTAATATAGGAGAGAAAAAAACTAAAATAATTAAAATGAAATATAAAATAATTTCAAATATATAACAATGTCATTGGTAATCCTACTATCATGGACCAGAGGAAAAGAGGTGTTGTGACTCCTATCAAGGACCAAGGAACATGTTGTAAAATATTTTTGTGCAATAAAAAGATAGAAAAGAAAATAGAGAAAATGAATAATATGACTAAAAGAGATAAATAATAATTATCTACGAATAAGAACCTGCAAGCAACATATGACTAAAAAATTTAAGGACAAGAATTAAAAACAAAACCTTTTACAAATAGAAAACTTATATATAAATAAGATGTCTTCTTTTATTCAAAAATATACTGTAGAAGCAAGTTCATCCAAATTGAAAATAAAACCAAGAAGCCAATACTAAGTAAGATTGAATTGATCAAATATCCATAAAAACTTCCAAATCGCTAAATCCTAGTACATAACTTCTTCAATTGGCTTTTCAGAGTCATGATGTCAAGCCAAAAAGAAATTGAACTGTGCATTCAAGCTTTACACATGAAATACATGCTTCACAAAGGTTCATTTGGACTCTGAGAGGCCCCTTACGACTACAAAATGTGTCTTCCATCAACAACTTGGCTTCTTATTTATATTTCAACATGTATCTTCATTTGAACTCTAAATCAGCACTCAAAACTCTTGAAAAGTAACCACCAAGAATATTTCTTCAATTTTTTCTTGTTGATTGGTATCTGAGATTTATCTTTCAGCTTCAAAAGAGCAATGCAGGTAGTAACACTACACCAGCATAGCAGAGTTATTTATTGACAATGAACAACCTCATATGTACACTCTTTGCATATTCTTATAAAAGATATTACCTAACTTTTCAAAAAAACTGTTTGCATTCTGCAATTTTAAGTAATAAAGTATTTTAGGGAAGGAATAAAGGGATTTTGAGTAAAAAATTTAAGAAAAAAAGATTTGATTGATTTTTATTATTATAGAATTATTTATTTATATTTTATGTAAATATGTAATAGTTTCACGCCTACTAGAATCCACATTGCAGCAACCATGACTACAACTGCAATTTAAAACCAATTCAGTGTTAGAATTGATTCGGTGTTAAAATTGTGCAAGGACAACACAATCACCCAACACAATTTTTTACCATTGATTACCACTTCGGAAGGACCCTGCTTCAGCTAGTGGCAATGCTAGATACCCATCAAATTCGTGTTCAACATAATTGGATTCTCATCTATTGATTAAATGGGAGGATATTGACAACTATACTTGGAGTCATTGTCATATGTCCAAGACAATGTCTGTCTATAACCCGGTGCAATGGTTTGTTTATTGCAATACCACTGTTGAGTCTCATTTGAGACATGACATACCCTCATCCAAAAAAATGTGGGTGTAAAATACTATGATGAATTCTCCTCTTCACTATATCTCTCTTCAAGCGTTAGCACAAGTTGTAAATACTAGTAGGGCTGGAGCTGCTACTAACTGGTTGGAGCAATTTCAGCGTAACCACCCACCTATGTTCAAATGAGGTTATGATCCCGATGCTGCTAGCAGAAAACAACACAAGAAGACTACACCAACTTGTTTAAAGCGAGTAACATAGAAGCTTAGAGCAAGCACAATTCGTTTAGAGCTACCACAAATTTGCTCTAAACGAGCCAATGCAGAAGGCAATCTTAGAAGCATACATATGGTCGCTCAAAGCGAGCTACAAGGGCGCTTTGAGTGAGTTACAAGGTGCTCTAAGTAAGAAGAATTTTCTCAAAACTACCACAAATTCATCTTGAGCGAGTAAAGGCAGAGAGCACCCTTGGACGCACTTACATGATCGCTTAGAGCGAGCAACAGGGGTGCTCTAAGTTAGAGTTGTCAAAACGAGCCACCTGGCCTAGCCCAGCCCGACTCACCACGGGTTGGTCAATAAGTGAGTCAACCCAACTTAATTCACCTTCTAGTGAGCTAACAAAAACTAAGCCTAACTCGACCAACCACGGGTTAATGAGTTAAACAGGTTGAGTCACTTAATTTTTTAAAAAATCTTTTTTTCCTACTATCCAACAACATATTTTTTAAATATTCATTTTTTTAAAATTAATTTTTAAATATCTATTCAGCCAATTTTTTTAAAAAAAATCTATTTTTTTCTAATGTCTAGGCACACAATCTACCTTTTTTCTTATTTCTTTTTCTTCCACAAAAAATGAGTGACATTTGACTGAATAAATAAGTGGGTTATGGGTTTTTATTTTTTTTTGTGAGTGGGCTATGGGTTTTAATTATTTATTTTGCATGAGTGGGTTGTAGGTTTTCATATTTTTTTGTGTGAGTGAGATTGTAAGTCAGCTCGGCTCACCACGGGTTCAACTCGGGTGAGTTGGGTTCTTAGTGAGCCAAGTTGAATTTCCAACAATTCTAAAATTTGCAAAAAAAAAATAAAAAATTCGCCTAACCCAACTTGAATTCGTGGTGAGTTGAGTTGACTCACATGTTGTGGCCCATTTTAACAATTCTACTCTGAGTGACTAGTTTAAACCTAAAAGCCCAAAAAAATTATTATAAATTCTGGGTTTCTAGAGGTCTTTGTATCGATTTTCAGTAGTAAAACATTCTTCTTAGCACAATTCTAAAGAGATTAGAGAGAGTTTCTATTATATCATCATTGTAATCATGGATTGATTGGGGATAAGGTCATGAGTGACTAAGTTCTCTATTATTGGAGATTGAGATAACTACTTGAACTATATAATTTTCTCCCTATTTTTCATTAAATAAAATATTTATTCAATTGATTATTTTATTGGCCTAAATAAATAAAAAAATTAAATATTTTCAAGAATAAATTGTTTAAAAAATAATTTACCAAAATAAATTGTTTTGCCATGTGGACATTTACAAGCAAAATGTCAACAGGGATGACGACTTTATTTTACAAGGAAGACATTAGTACAATTGACATTTTTAGTGCAATTTTTAGGATTTAGGGTTCACTACAATTTTTTGGTTCCTGTGACATTTTGAGTGTTTTCCTACCACACCGTAGTTCTATCGTATAACACTACTTAACGACTTTATGAAGGGGTGAGTGATTTTTCTCTAAACACCAAACATGTTTTGAGTTTATTATTGCTGATGCTCTTCAAGCGTTAGCACAAGTTGTAAATACTAGTAGGGCTGGAGCTGCTACTAACTGGTTGGAGCAATTTCAGCGTAACCACCCACCTATGTTCAAATGAGGTTATGATCCCGATGCTGCTAATGCTATGGAGTGCCCTCCTGCTCAGAAGGTTGAATTACCTCACTAAAATGACTTATCCAAACAGACTGTTATAGTTCACCTAAAAAAAATTACATATGTTATATTCAATTTAGCAACCCAACTTATAGCTTCTAATGAGAGTCTCGCCCTCCACAATATCAACATATGGTGTTTTCCAACCAATTTTGACAAGTACAAATGGACCAAACTCATCCTAAATATAGTAGCCCCAACTAATGATGTGATTACTTATATGAAAAACAACATCAACACTACACTTTAAGAATCTACTTCATGATTTTTTTCCCAACAAACTTGAATATCATATTGGTAGAAAAATTGCTTTTTTTTCCCTTAAGAGCTTTAACAACTAACCAATATGCACATGTGTGGGTAGCTTTAGAAATTACCATACTAGGAGTTCCTGCATGATCATTCCACACTTTATCATTCCTATTCTGCCAAATACTCAAAGAATCATAGTGAATTTAGCTCACATATCAAGATTCAAAATGTTAGTAACTTAAAATAAGCTTCAACAAATTAATGTCATTGATATAGAATTGTAATAACTAACCTCCTTAATGAAGCAATCCTCTAGCAATTAACACTTAGAGGACATGAAAAAGATGTGCTAGCTTTGGTCCATTCTCACACTACATAAAGCACAACAAGAAGTACAATCAACACCTTTGGTTCTTAACAAAACTCTAATTAGAAAACAATTACTGTAAAGTCTCAATAGAAATATCTTCAATCTTGGTGAAACTTTTAAATTTCATATTAACATCTAATCTCTTTCTCAGGTCAAGTGGGTAACATCAACAAGCTGATTATAACAAATTTCTATAAATTGTCTTGATTGAGTAAGATCCATCTTTCTCAGGGAACCAAACCCTCTTATCACCTTAAAAATATTGGGTTAGAGGAGTTTATAAGATAACTTTTATACCTTCCTCATTGAATAAAAGTTGATTTAATTACAAACTTATAAGGACTTTTGATATGTTATTTATTAGAAATAATTATTCGTTTTTAGTAGAAAATCTCTCAAAAACATTTACAACTTGTACCAAAAAAGACTCTAAATATTGAAAAGGTTATTGGTTCCAAGTACTTTGCCCCACCAATATAAGTTGTTGATTTGTAGTATATGGAATCTCATTAAGTGGAGTAGTTGTAATCCGTAAATGGTCTTGTTTCCTCAACCATGGTTGAGACCAAATGTTCACCTTTGAACCATCCCCAATCCTCCATCTATAACCTTCTCCAAAAATAAGATATGTTATGGCCAACCATAACATCTAAAAAGTCCACATTTGGAAAATATTTAGTTATGAAGATTCAAGTAACTAAAGCATTTGAGTTAGAAAGAAACTTCCAACCTTGTTTCCTTAGCTTTACTAAATTAAAACCATAGAAGTTTCGGAATCCCATACCTCCTAGCTCCTTTTTTATGGTTAATTTTTCCAAACCCATTCATTTGATTCCTTTATTATCCTTCCTAGCAACATGCCACAAAATATAATTAAGCATTTTTTTGAAGTTCCCCACAAAGAGATGGAGGAAATAGGTAGACACTCATGGTGTAAATAGAAATAAATTGAGATGCATATTTTATAAAACCTCTTTACCAACAACAAATAAATTCTTACCCCACCCAAGAGCTCAATTTTCTCCAGACTTTTATCTTAAAAATAATTGAATGTTGTTTTCTTACTT